TAGTTACTATATGAATCATTCAATGCACCATTAATTGCAAGAAAGAACTCAGAAAGCAACAGACACCAGCTGCAACGTTCTTAATTTTAAAAAATGCTGGCCTCCAGCTAACACGGTTTTGTTGCTTAGGTCATAAGGAGTTTATAAGCTCTGGTATCTCTCATTCTGAGCCAAAATTATTAATATCCAAAAGCTCCATGGGGGGCCAAAAAATTTATTTTCTTAGGGTAGTAGAGACATCATAGACTTAATCAACCATGGTAAGCAATATTTTTTTTAATATAAATTAAAAAAAAAAACAAAAAAAGAAAAAGGGTTTTCCATTCACATATAGCGTCAACCAAAAATAAATTTCTAATTTTTTTTAAATAAATTTCTAATTTTTTTTAAAAAATTGAATGAATTTGTTTATTCTTAATTTAATTTAGCGTGATTCAATATTTTTTTTATTGGAGTTCAATTGAGAAAGATGAGATTGAATTTCTGCATATTGTATTAATTACTTTTCGAATCAATTTTTAGATAAAGAAACGAATAATCCTTCCCAAATTAATATTAGATAATTTTTTTCAAAATTATTTGATGGAAATTTTATCAAGTTTTATAGTTTGTTAGAAACGAATAATCCTTCCCAACTAGATAATTTTATTTGATGGAAATTTTATCAAGAAATGTTAGTTTGTTAGTTGTCACAATTATTCGTTTCTAACTCCAATTATCCATTGACTTGCACAAAAGCTTGATTACAAGATTTCCCACACCAACTCCAATTATTTTTATATTCTGTACTGAGATAGTTGTCTCTGTCTCTCTGATCATCACGAAGTTGGTAAGAGGTATCGTTTTTCGTTTAGTAGAAAAGGACTAGCTGACCCTTACATCAATTAATATTTATTGTTCACCAGGGATTAGATTCATAAATTCCTTGGGACGGATAACTGACAACGGATGAGGGTAAGATTTCCTAGTCATAAGGTTAAGAAATTTTTTTTTTCCTGTTAATTTAAGTTTGCTCTGATAGCACGTAGAATTGAATAATTCTTTAGCTAATTCGCTTTAAATGTTGATGAAGAAGAGGTGTGGCCCGACGAGCCTCCCTCTTTTATTGCTTCTGAAATAGAATGGTGATGTAGAATCTCTTTTTACTCAATAATTAAAAAACAAAACAAAACAAAAAAAACCATAGAGTTGAAGAGTACGAAGAAGTTAAACTTGAGACCATTTCTTCTTACTTTCTTCACCAACTCTTTTTGGAATATCATCGTATTCTTTATTATTTTATTGTTTCTGTTGTTCTTGATACCAGTTATTGAACCTTGCTTGTTTGTCTTTGAAACTTAACACCAAATCACAAGACCCGGCCCAGAGAACATGGCGATCTCATATTCTTTATTTTATCAAAAACAAAACAACTGCTCCTTGAACCATAAGCCATTCACTTGACACTCATTTAAAAAAATAAAAATAAAAAAACAATTCTGATTCAAACCCTTGATGTAGTGGGTATGTTTATTTATATCCCTCGATGTAGTGATACCTACGTTTTTCTTAAAAAAAAAAATATATCAATAAAATCATAAGACCAGCTTTTAATTATTATATAATTCACAAGTAACTGTACCAAATTAAATAATAAAATATCTTCTTGATGCTATTAGTCGTTAGCACGTCGTCAAAATTTTGCAAGTTCAGTAAAAATGCAGAAATTAATAATATTGTCAATTGAGTATGGTACTATATATATATATATATATATACACACAAAATACAACTTGGACTAATCAAATTAATACCACTGCACTGTGTTAGGTGATATATATATATATATATATATACACACACACAAAATGCAACTTGGACTAATAAAATTAATATACACAAAATGCAACTTGGACTAATAAAATTAATACCACTGCACTGTGTACGTATATATATATATATACACACACAGTCAGTGGTATTAATTTTATTAGTCCAAGTTGCATTTTGCAAAGACCAAAATTAACTTAATTATTGTACATTAACTAATGATTTTTAAATCTTAAAACTGCATGCATCTTCCTATCTTATTGAAGGCAACAAGTAAAATCAAATTAATAAGAAGTGGGAAAACAGACCAATTTTTTCTAAGGGCAACGATTAAATTATTATTATTATTATTATAAGGTTAATAGCTTAGTTTGTTTTTATATGATTAAATATTTCTTTTATTTTTTTTATATATTTACTTTATTTTTAAATATATGCTAAGTTTCATCCTAACTTTTTGTCATGATTTTCAAATCAGACAATTAGCATTATTCACGTAATTTTTTATACATAATTATTTTTTATTCCTAAAATATTCTTATAATCCAATTAAATAGAAAGCTTTTATGCATAAATCTTGTGATTAATTCTGATAATTTAGCTTAAAAAACTTGACAAAAAAATAGATTAGATACTTAATGTATATTTAATTATGAAATCAGTTCAATTAAAGCTACAATGATATATTAAAGAATTAATTTACTATACAAGGACAGATGAGCCATTAATACAAAATTATATTTTTATTCTGAAGTTTTTGGGTTTTGTGCATGTATAGTTAGTCGATTGGGGTGAGCAATTGTTTTTTTTTTATTCAATTTTTTACTATTCCAGTTTGTTTTTTGATTAAAAAAATCTTCAATAAATAACCCGAATCCGAATCGAATAAGAATTTGGTTTTTCAATTTAAAAACTAAAATTTTGATTTTTGATTTTTTGATTAAACCGAATATTTTTTCTTTTTTTTCTTTTGATTTTTTTTTTTAATTTACAGACAACAAACCGGAAAGAAAATGTAATATAACCACACTGCTATGTTGTAGTATTAATTACTATCTAGTTTGACTTACATTATCATGGATCAAATTTAGTTTTAAAAAAGATTAGATAAAACTATACATGGTTTCTGTCCTGCAAAAGAATTCATGGGTTTTCATCCAAAATCATTTTTTTCTTTAATAAAGGGTTAAAAAAAAAAAAAAACCCTTAACACCTACATAAATCTCTGAAACAGAGACAACTATTTGAAAGTTTCTTTAATCCAAGTTCAACACCCATATTATCATCACAAAATCATCAATGTAGTGGCGGACGCAACATCAAATGTTCATAAGAGTCAAAATATTTATAAATTTGTCATGCTTTACACAAATATATATATATATGATTTTCGTGACTTGAAAGAACGAAGATCTCTATTTTGAGTGATTGTATTTTGAGACTATTTTAAAATATATGTTGGTATATATCACTCAAAATAGAGATCTTCGTTCTTTCAAGTCACGAAAATCATTTATAAGCGAATCCATACTAAAATTTTTAACAATTTCTTTTTCAAGTATACACTAAAAATATTAAGGATTATAGTAGCATTGGCCACTCTACTAATAAGTTGAATATATTTCAAAATAGTCATTTTAGTAATATTGAACCTATAAAATATAAACAAGAAAACTCATTATTATAAACAAACAAACAATTGAGAATCTAATATATTAATCTAAATATGGTTGTGACTAAAATAATTAAAGATATTTTTTAATAATCATTAATGAAAGAAGAATGGTTATTTGTAAATTGTAATCAAGCGTTACAATTCTTCTTCTTCTTCTTTTTTTTTTTTTTGGGTCTAGAACTACAAGCATAACAATGACACAAAATTTCAATATTAATAGTACAATTTTAATTCAAGTCGATAGACTATCATAATTTTACTAAGCCATGGATCTAATATTTCAATAAATACCTTAATCACATAAAATAAAATTAGGAAGACAACTGATCTAATCTTTTAATTATAAAATATTATTTAAAACAATTGAGAGTTGTCAAGATTCAATCAATATATAAAATGAAAAACTTAATAAATTAATAATGTAAATAATATAATAAGAGTTAATAAATTACTGATTTTTTAAGAAAATACATATTATGTTGTCGAATAAAAAGATTTAGCTAAGAGAAATATATATATATATATATATATTTTTTTGTGTTTTGAATAGAATAAAAGTTAAAAGAAAGGAAAGAAAGAACGAGTTTAGTAATAATGGGAGCGAGTTGGTATCAAATTAAATAAACATGATAAATTTACCCCCTAGCAAACACAGAAAAATCGCTATTCAAAATCATATTAAAAAAAAAAACTCAAGCCATTTTGTCTCAAGTATCGATGTATTAAAGCAGGGTAAGGCAGAGACTGTGCTAAGGAGCTCAAGCCATGTTGGCTGGCAGGGGCGCATTAATGCAGGGTTTGTCTTCCTTTATTACTTAGTTGGTCAGACTCATGTATAAAGGAAAAAAAAAGTTGGAGGGGGCCATTAGTTACTTAAAAAAAAAAAAAAAAGTGTTTGTGTGGGGGGGGGGGGGGGGTGTGGTGGTGGTGGATCGGTCCGGGCCCCTGCAGCAATATATGTGCGTCTGCCCCTGCATCAATGTAAAGACAGTAGTAACTCTTGCAGAAACACTACCCAACAAAGTAGAAGTCAGAGATCGATGCGTATAATTTTTTTTTTAAAAAGGGGATCCCTTATCGAATATGCTAAAAAAAGAAAAGTTGACGAGAACATATGAGTTGTTTTAAAAGAATAAGGGTCAGATTGGAAAGTTGTAAAAATTTTCAGGGGCCCAAAGTAATCTTCCATCTTGCTCTGCCTAGCTTTGATAACAACAAAACTTGTCATTTACTTTTAACCCAGTCTAAATAGACTTCGAGAAATTATTAGATATATCAGTAAGTACTTTGCCTTCTCACAAAAATAATTTATGAATCTTATATATGCTTTTAGGAGAAAGCCAAGTAATAATTATTCATTACACATAAGTTTATCCATTAATTTACATCACTAGTTTGTCCTAACCTTTCAACTTCTGTTCTAATTACCCTATTTATACCCTCAATCATCCAAGACCAACTTGTTCGACCCACCAACATCATCTCTTTTGTTTGTTTCTTTCTAGAACTTCCCTCCATGGATCAGCTTCCAAAATGTGATGCAAACTATGTTTCTCTCACTCCCATAAATTTCTTGACGAGAGCCGCCAAAGTTTATGGCAATCGCCTCTCTGTTGTATACGAGGGAACCCATTTCACATGGCAGCAAACATATGAGCGTTGCCTCCGCCTTGCCGATTCTCTCCGTTCCTTTAATATTGCCAAAAACGATGTTGTAAGTTTTTCGATATAGCATATGTTGTCTCTCTGTTTTTTTTTCTTATATACTGTCAGACCAGCTAGCAGATTTGTTTGCGTATTTACAAGATTGTTTACTACAGGTTTCGGTGTTGGCTCCGAACATTCCAGCTCTGTACGAGATGCACTTTGCAGTGCCCATGGCAGGGGGGTCATCAGCGCCATCAACACCAGGCTAAATCCAGATCACGTAGCCACCATTCTGCGCCACTCAGAAGCAAAGGTCTTCTTTGTGGACTACCAATTTGTGCATTTGGCACGTCAGGCCCTCCAAATACTGATGACAAGTGAATCTATTTCATCCAAATTAGTTCTCCCTTCAGTCGTTCTCATTGATGACATTGAGTCACCGACTGGTGCCATTTTCGGTGAATGGGAGTATGAACAACTTGTCAGCAAGGGCAATCCAGGGTACACCCCTTGCGAAATCCAAGATGAATGGGACCCCATAGCCTTGAATTACACATCTGGAACAACATCAGAGCCGAAAGGAGTTGTCTATAGCCACAGAGGTGTCTTCCTTGGTTCCCTTGGCATAATTATTGGCTGGGAAATGGCGAGCGAACCTGTGTATATGTGGTCTCTTCCTATGTTCCACTGCAATGGTTGGACCTTAGCGTGGGGCATCGCGGCACGAGGTGGAACGAACGTTTGCCTACGCAATACCACAGCTAAAGACATGTACAGGAACATTGCTCAACACAAGGTGACTCACATGTGTTGTGCGCCCATCGTTTTCAACATCCTCCTTGAAGCAAAACCTGACGAGCGTAGACAATTCACTTCTCCTGTCCAAATACTTGTCGGTGGGGCACCACCACCTGCCTCGCTGCTTGAAAAGATGAAACCGTTAGGATTCCATGTCACTCATTCCTATGGCCTCACAGAGGTGGGACCAGCCCTTGTGTGTGAGTGGCAGGCCAAGTGGAACAATCTTCCAAGCGAAGATCAGTCAAAAATCATGGCCAGACAAGGGATTAACACAGTAGCTCTGGCTCATATGGATATAAAAGATTTGAATTCAATGACTAGCGTGCCTTGGGATGGCAAAACAATGGGAGAAATTGTTCTGAAGGGAAGCACTGTCATGAAAGGATATTTCAAGGACCCAAAGGCCACTGCGAAAGCATTCAAGAACGGATGGTTTGCTACAGGCGATATTGGAGTCATGCATCCTGACGGATACTTGGAAATCAAGGACAGATCAAAAGATGTGATTATATCTGGTGGTGAAAATATCAGCAGTGTAGAATTAGAGTCGGTTCTTTACAGCCATCCAAGAGTTCTGGAGGCAGCTGTAGTGGCCATGCCACACCCAGTTTGGGGAGAAAGTCCTTGTGCTTTTCTTGCCATTAAAAAGAACTCAGAAGGGAAATCTGATGATGTTAAAGAAGCTGATATCATTGCTTATTGCAGGAAAAAGCTTCCCCATTATATGGTTCCAAAGAAGGTGGAGTTCATGCCTGGGTTACCCAAGACTTCAACAGGAAAAGTTCAGAAATTCCAGTTAAGGGATTTGGCAAGAACTTTTGTGGTCTCAGAGAAATTTCCTAGCAAGAAAACTGCCCAAGGACATCAGGCTCAGCCAGCTCGTGTTGCTTTGTCTCGTCTTTGAACTTGATCATATGGTTCAAATTTTTTCCCGATACAGGCCTGCTGCTTTCCCTGGCACATGCCATGTTACGTGTTTTTATTTGTACTTTTGAATTATGGTTTGATGATTATTGATTAAGCTCAACGTGTCAATTAATTTTGTGTGATATGGGGATTCAAAAGTACCAATTACTAATAAGTTATTACTCTAGTAGTAAGCGAATTGATTAATTTTTTTTTATCAATATATAGGATTCGATCGAATTTTGAAGTCGTATTTATTGTAAGAAATTAAATCTTGTTACTTGTGTTTCGAATAAAATTAGTTTTATCTTCAACGTGGTTGGAGAAAATTTAAAAATAAAATAAAATAAAATGTTTGTCTAGTGGTTCACGATTATATTCCCTTATAGAACTATCCTCCCATATCAAGTAATTTAACTAATTCAAAGCAAAATCCTTTGTATCTAACCAATCTATTTTCCCCCTGTCACTAATTCTGATTTTCTAAATTTGACCTTTAACCTTCCCATAAAAAAAGAAAATTTCCCGGACCTATAGATGGGCCACTTTTTAAGATATCAACTAAAATGATATTTTGTTAACATTTCCCTCATTTTCGATTGACATGTAAACTGGTCAGAAAATATTTTTATTATCGAATAAAAAAATATCAACTTCAGGCTTATCGGCAGAACTCTACCACCAATTTGAAACTAGCAGCCACACTAGGTCATGACAATCATCGAGTCTAATTAAACGAAGGGACCTCCTGTATTTTTATATTTAATTTGGTCTTAATGCTCTCACAAATCAGCCTCTGATTATAAAACAAATCTGGAATTATCCTCTACTCTTTCCCAAGGTTGATTGTTAGACAATGACATATATATATTTTAGCTTATGCATGAATCATGATCTCGAATATCAAATTTGTACATCATATATGTTGAAATATTGTAGATTTAATAAGTCTATCATATGTAATCCTTCCTGAATTTATAAATCTACTTAGTCAACCGTTTAAGTTGGAGGAATCGATTAACAAGTGCATAATATATAATCTTGCTTCTAAATCACAAGTACTTGAATACAACATTAGAAATCAAGATGGACAACTCGCAAATCAATTTCTAATTGACTGTATACCTAACAGGTAAGATTATAGTGATGTTTAATATTAATCAGCTACGTATGTTGTTTGATTCTTTACTTCTTAGCATGCACTTTCTTCACTTTGTGTTTTTGTCGTTTATTTTTGGTGATGAAAGAGGCCAAAGGCTCTAAAAAAATAAAACTAAACTAGACGAGGCGGTCGACAGAGCCAATGAGGTCTTAACACAAAACATGGGGTAAAGCAGCAGGGAGGATCGTAAACAATAGATTAATCTCCAAGAGGTCTGGTTCTGGTTATCCCAAAATCAACCAGCCAATCAGAAATAGCATTGGCTTTTCTGAAAGCAAAGCTTGTTGGATTGTCACTACCCATTCTCAGTCCCTGGAAACCAAAATTGTAGCTCTAGAGACCAATCCAAATTGGCATTTTGGACTTTGTGTTTAGCTTAAGCTGTGCTTGCTTCGAAAAAAATAAATTTTAAAAATTTATTTGTTTATTATTTTTCGATGTTTGTTTTACGTTTAGAAAAAAAATCAACGAAATTTGATTTTTGATCAACAAAAATTAATTGATTATTTTTGAAAAAGTGACTTCGAGTTAAAAAAGAAAAAAATATTTTCTCTTTTTCTCACGAGTCGTCTCACTCTTGCTTATTAACCTCTCTCTCGATGTATTTTAACAATTTTTTCTCGTCTCCTTTTTTATTTAAAATATATCAAATTGATTTTAATTATTTCTTATCAATTATTATTAATTATTTAATGATTTTTTTCTCTATTTCTACTAACATTTGATTTTTTTATTTATAAATACATTAAATATTCTTAAAAACTATTTTTACATCTTAAAATTATTTTTATAATAAATATTTCAATAATTTATCTCTATTTTTTTTTTAATCATTATCCCAAACACCACCTAAACTATACTTAAATGATTGAAAATAATTATTACAAGACTACAGATCATTTGTGAAAAATTTAAAACTAATTAATTCATTAATAAATACATTATTTTTTCAATACTATTCATTTGTAACTAAATCAATAATTTGTGACTAATTTTAATCAGTCGTAAAATTTTATTGGTAATTGTAGTCAATAATTAGTTATAAATTATTCCAACAATAATCTTTTGAAACAAAATGAATAATTATTTACAAATCAATAATTTGTGGCTAATTTTAATCAGCTTGTAAAATTTTATTGATAATTGTAGTCAATAATTAGTTACAATTATTCCAACAATAATATTTTGAAATCAAATGAATAATTATCTACAAATGAATAATATATATATATATATATATATATATATATATATATATATATATATATATCTCATGAAAACACAAGAGATGCATGAAATCTATTTATAATAATAAAGAATGGATAGATGAGAGTAAAAGAAAATGAGAGACGAGTTGGTGTGAGAATACTAAAATAATTTTTTTGAAAAAACTACATTTTTCGTGCCCAATGTAATAACTCATTTTTGACCCCTTGTTTCATTTTCATACTAAAATAATTTTTTTTTGAAAAAACTACATTTTTTGTGCCTAATGTAATAAATCATTTTTGACCCCTTGTTTCATTTTCATACAAAATTGAAAATAAAATAAAAACAAAACAAAAAAAAAATCAAAAAAAAAAAATAGAATGTTGCATGGTTTATCCTTTTTCCGTGATTTTTAGGCGTTTTTATAAATTTCTTGAATTTTAATTTCTTAGAATTATTTTCTATTTTTAATTAAGAAAAAAACAGAAAAAAAATTGATTGAGAAGATGATTTGGGATCTAATTGAAAATGATGTGAGAAGCGAGGACCAAGTAACATATAATTAGGGATTTAATTTGAAAAGGATAAAACTCAAGAAACTTGATTGAGAATTAATCAATACAAAATTGGTTTTATCCCAAACCCTAAAAAAAACCCATATATAAACACCCTTTCACTTCATTTTTTAGAAAGTCTCCATCACTCATCTACCTACCCGAAAAACCCTAGCCATAATATTTTACTTTACCTAAACAACCCTAGCCTCCACATTTATCCATCTTCCCCACAAAAAAAAAAAAAAAACCTAATTGAAAAAATGTAGCCTCTACTATTCATTTTCTTCTTCTCATTTTAACCCACCAAAAAAAGCCCTAGCTAGAAAAACTATTCATCTTCCCTACCAAAAACAATTTCTTCTAAAAAAAGAAAAGCAAAATAGCTGCAAAAAGAGAACTTGATAGACCCAAATCACCTACGGTCAATCCGCAAACTTACGGACTTCCTCCTTCAAATCAACCATCATCTAGCTGAAATTACTTCGGTATACTCCACCAATCAATAGTCTACCACTAGATCCATCAATTTTGACTGGTTAGGGAATAAGAAGATGTCGAAGAGGCCGAAATCAAAGAGAGAAGATCAAAGACTTGACTCGATTGTATACTCACTAAAACTACCATTTTTCAACCAAACCAATAATCTTGACCACCATAAAAATGTCCCTCATCCTCCTAGAATTTTTTATCCCTTAAAATTATAGAAAAATATCATCAAAATTGGCGAAATCAAAGAGAAGATTAATCGGCCAACCCGTTTATCCATTTATTTGAAACTCAAAAAAATCTTCCCGATATGACAAAATCGAACATCCTAACCACTATAGAAATGTTCCTCATGGTCCTTTGAGTAGCTTGTAATCCTCCCACTACCTCGTTATAGTCGAATCTTCATCGAAGAGAGGGAGAAAATATCGAATCTTAAACGATGTTGATCCGCCTCCTCCGTCAATGATGGGCCGCCACTACCACAAAACAATCGAAGATGACCTCCTCTAGCCTACGGACCGATCAACACGCTTGAAGGATCGCTAGATGGTGGTTGGATGTCTCGATAGTAGCATTGAGGGGTATGAGGGGCATTTTCATAATTTTGACATGCATAGGTATTTTGGTAATTTTCATGTACATGGGCATTTTGGTCATTGTCTAGTGACCATTCGGTTTGTTTTCTCACTTTTTTTAATTTCTTTATGATGTTTTTTTTTATAATAATGTTAATTCTATTTATGTTAGAAAATTTAAAAATCTTTAGGTTGTGGAATTTATTTTAATGTATGAAGGTGATTAAGTTGTGATGTCGGACCAACAAAGCTCCTATCTATTAGGGACGGATGCTAGTTTTGATACATTTCTCAAGTTTTAAAAATTATATAAAAAAATAATAATTGGTCGAGTCGGTTCAAATTTTATTTAGCATTTTATGTAAATACTTTTAGTTAATTAGGTCGTTCCTTAACATGGCAATCATGTCCGAACTTTAATTCAAATATCATGTTAAATTGACAAGAATTTCAAATTTTAGGATTCGACATTAATTTAATATGATGCTACATAAAAAAATAAAAATAAAAATAAAAATAAAAATTTGATAATATATTTCCCGCATATCTTCAAATAAAAAACCCTTAGTTTAATTAGGAAAAATAACAAAAAAGAAAGAAAACATTTTAAGCAATTTTAACAAGTCTCCCATCTAGTATGGATGGACATTATTAATTGAAATCGATCACTTTAGTAATTAAATTGTTCTCCGACATAATGGTTATGTCGAGACTTAAAGTAGATCCGATATTGGATTGATGAGACTCCTAGCATTGGGGTTCGATAATCAATTTAATAAGATGTCACAAAAAAAAAAAAAAATTCAATTGGCTTAAGAAATAAAATTTGGAATTTTAACTTGAGAAATAATTTGGGAAAAATATAAATTTTTATGAGATAAACTTTAGGATTAAACTAGACATGATACCTTTCTTAGAAAAAGATATCTTTAGGTGATTTATATCTTCCCAAAACCAACTTATGATCTTAAAATCTCTAAACCCGTGTCAACTTTAGGTTTTCTAG